ATCATTCCTCTGTCAGAAAAGAAAACCGGAAGGATCAAAGTCCCAGTGACCAAAGGAAACGATCCTTTTTTGGTTCAACCGCAGAGGTTTGCGTAAGGGTCGAAGAATTCACCGGGGAAAGATCGTTGTCTCGATGTTTGCACTTTTATACAATTGTTACACAGTTCGTACGCTTTGTTCCTGGCGCGTGAATTTCTAGTCCAGCATGATTCATCTGCTCGAGAGATACGATTCGAATAATCTCGAATGAGCATTATGTGCAGTCTCCCGGTTTTCAGCCTTCAACCAGCATAATGAAAACGTGACTAGGCTCGAGGAATGCTTAACTCTTTAATTGTTGCTTAACTGCGATTAGGTCATTTCGAGTTCGAGTGATAAACGGAACAATGCAATGTATTTTTTAGCGCTCTGTTTTATGTCTCCAATTTTCAATCTATAGTTTAATTTGTATTTTATGCTTCTCAAAGATGGTTCTATCTTGTATCGAGTATTCGAACATTTATTGTTACATCCAGTTATTATATCATGTAAAATTGTCACGATTATATTGACAAATAATTGGTATATTATAATGTATGAAATATAAATTTAAATTAAGTTTGTAATTAATTGCATTAAATGAAAAATAATTAATTAATTTATATTATGATATTTCTGCAAGCTTGCTTTTGATAAATTTTCACTGTCTCATAAAAGTATTCAAATAGTTTGTATGTTATGTATATTATATGTGTTGTATAAAACTGTCGTGATTATATATTGATATAATTTCCATATATAATCAATTTTAAATGTAACATTAATACAGCATGTATTAAATACATGTTGTTTCACTGAACAATCAGATTTATCAATACCTATAATTTTTGTTTAAATATTTCTACGATGTTTATGAAGTATATATTTGTACTAAATATCTTGCAACTTCCGTATTGAAAATGACAGTCTGAAGGAAATTTTAAAAACAAGACAAGAAACAAAAGAAGTGGCGTAGTTTTACGAAATTACTGAACTATAATCGACAAAAGGAATGAATATATGATACAACTGCATGTCCAAGAATAAAGAAGATACAAGAAGATACAGAAAAAGTGTTCGACACAAATTTAATTTACACGAACAGAGAACATTAACTCTAAACTTCATTTCTGTCTCCTCATTATAATTATCTCACAACATTTCGTGTCTCGTTATCGTATATAATCGTATTATATATTCATACGAAACTCCTAAGATTATTTGAATACTTTCGTGAGCAATCGCCAAGACACAAAAAATCATTCAACCACACGAAATAATATGAATAATAAAAAAAAAAAGAGACACAAGTGCAAAAATAATATATAATATTCGGAAAATTATAAGATAATAAGAGATGTTCGAAAAACTGGAGACTGAAAATACAGGCAACTACAAAAATGCACCAGAAATCAATGATATATTTAAATTTCGAAGCTTCTCCAACAGATTTTCTCGATCCTCTGCGAAAAATTCAACAACACGAAACTCAACAGACACCGAACGAACGTTCGAATTAAATTCGAAACGAATTAATTTCACTGCCGATAGCATCGAAACAATTCCCCCCCCCCCGCCCCCCGCGATGTTTGAGAGGGGACTTATATTTAGTCTGTTGGATGTCCCTCGTCGGACGTTTTTCCTCTCGCCTCCTAATTGTTCCGTTCCTCGGGACATTTTAAAACGTTCTCAAAGCACGGATCCTCCAATTACCGCGGAAAAAGCAGGCTTCTCTTTGTTCTTCCCGAGCGAGGCCGCGCCCCCGACTCCGTTGAATAACTCGGTTCCCAGCCGGCAATTAGTCAAGTTCGTTCGACGAACGATCCCGTTCCGCTCGTGAATATTCCCATTGACGACGAGCATCTGCGGGGAAACTGTGCGCCGAATTCGAAATTTCGCGCAGATGCGCCCGCGACTCTTTTCCGGCCCCCCCTTGTCCCTCCACGCTTCCGGTCCGAATCCGCGTCGCCCCGCAGAGTCGTCGCTTCGTCTAAAAACGTCCGATTTAGGGAGAGATCCGATCGTCGAGGGAAACTTGGGAATCGACGAGATATTGATTGAACATAGAAATATCATTTGGACTTTGGAGGAATATTTATACTAATTTCAGTTAAATTTAATTCGAATGGAACACTCATCATTTGACTTTATTTTTTATTATTATTATTATTATTATTGTATCATTATATTATTTAACTTTATTCTATTTTTGCTTTAGTTATTATGTTTATTATTGTATTACTTCTATACAAATCGTTTGTATTGATTTCAAAGTTTTGTAATCACCGGAATGTCTGTTTAATCTGATACGTTAATAAGATATCGAGCAAAACGTTGAAATATTGAAAATAAAGTATTAAATATAAAATATTGTACTTTGACGTCAATTTCAATTGATTTGGGTACCTTTTGGATAGATAGGAAAGGATATCAGAAAATTAGCCCCTGGTTATAAATCTCAAATTCTTCAATTTTTTAAAACTGAATAACAGTCAGAAGCTCAAAACATATTGTGAAAAATGTTCTGACCCTACGAAAATTAATGAAAATTAAAAGATACTACAAAAGTAAAAACTTATCATAGTTACATTATTGTGAG